GGCGCCACTTTTTTTTAAGGGGGGGGGATAAACACAAACATGAAACTTGTAAATAAAATTATCTGATATATAGCCTATGTACAATTTAATAACATATAGCCTAGTTTGATATATGAATTGGGTGTTCGTCAAAGTTTGCATGCGGTCGGAGATTCCCGTGTTTACAGCTCCATAAAATAACCTACTGGAAGCTCTATAGTTTTGCTGTATAGGCCTATAGATAAAAATATTCAAATTACAAACACACAACATTTTGAGTTACTTCCATTTCTGAAAAAAATAATGTAGGCCTGGTTGAGGTTATAAATACACACGCCTGGTTTTTGTTTTAATTATCCACCGTACATAAAAAAACAACAAAAAACATTTGCAATCAAGACAAAAAAGCCAGAAGTGGATGTAAACCAAATTTGGCCCAGACTCTGTTGCTATCTGTGAAGCCAAGCATAAGAATAGCCTACTAATGTAAATTTGTTAACCCACAGTAACAAATTTTAACAGATTAATTGCATATTTTCATTTGCTGCATGCTTTTAAAAACACAATAACATTTTTTTTTTTTTTTGAGGAAAATAAAAAAAAAGATACATCTCGTATAAGTTGCATTTTCAGAAATAATAACGGCAGGCCTAATAATGTTGTAATGTACCAACATTATAAACACTATAGGATAATTTAGTTCCCCTCACTTTACAACAAATCCTTTAAATTTAACCGTATCAGAACAGAATAAAAATGTACAAATATATAATTCTAATGGATAAATATAATTGTAGTATATAATAATATATGCTTAGCAATAAACATGCCAAAACAAATTAATTTATAAAGAAACGTAAGGTAAAGTTGGGCTTACTTCTCTCAGGCACAAATCCAAATGTGTCCATATTCGTGATGTAGCTGAAGCTAAACTATTAGCCTTATTAGGTAAAATAGGCATTGTAGTTCACACGCGTTCCAGTATCTACGGAAAAATATCATAATGAGCAAAAATATGATCTATTCTACATTCAAAAGAAAGCCTTTGGCTTGAGTTGCAGAAGGCATGGGATAACATTAGTGTTGAAGTTCTCAAGAAATTTATTGACACTATGCCAGAGAGATGTGCTGCTGTAATTGCTGCAAAAGGTGGACATACCAAATATTAAAGCTAAAAGTGGATAAAAACAGTATGACTCACTTCATCTGATATTTGTTGTGCTCAGAGCAACCATCTGCATGTTTCATGAACATTATGAAATTAAATAATGTTGTGAGGCAAAAAAAAATATTTTTCCTAAATTCCATAAATTTAAGTATTAAAGATATCTTAAAATTTGAAGATGTAAAAAGTCAAGTTTGTTAAGACTCAGTATCTTATGAATTAAGATATTCATAAGATATCCCCCTCCACAAAATAGTGGATTTCACAGTATTATTGAAATTATTTGAGATGCTTACTGTGTTGAATGCACTGCTGAACAGATAAGACTTAGACTTAGAATTGTTTATACATCCAGGCACTTTGCCGTACCTGACTTTTACTTGTTTCAAGTTTGCATGTTTGTTTACATTGGTTTTGCTGTGTTGATTTAATGTTCATATATAACTGCATGTGGGTAGTTGATGTACAATTTATAGAATGGAAGTTTCAAAAAATAAAATAAATAAATAATAAAAAGTGCCTTTAAAGAAGCTGGGCCCATCTTTGGGTATTTGGTGACATATATCTCATTTATCAAGGAAATCCTATTTTCAGGTGACTGCATTTTGTCAAGAAGATGAGCACAATTATGAAGCTCCAAACATGCAAAATAAAAAATGTGGCAAAGCAGCATGGACTGTAATATTTGAGGATTCTGTGGATAAAGATGCACTTCGTTCTCTGAAACCACTGCAGTACCCTCCACCACCACCATCTTTCAAACTTGTGCAGCGAAAGCAACGGGTCGTTTGCCTCATCCTTGATGTCTCAGGAAGCATGGGAGTATGACATTATCTTCATTTAAAAACAAAGATGCTACCATGATATCCTTTTCTTGTTACCAGTGCTTTGAAATGAGTTTGATAAATAAGTTTAAAAAGATTAAAGGAAAAAAAAGTTTTCTCACCCATTTTCTAGGGCTCTAGAATACTTCAGCAGCTACAGGCTGCCACACATTTTCTGCGGAACATCGTTGAGGATCAAGCCAGTGTTGGAATTGTAACTTTTAGTACTGAGGCTTATACTCTGAGCCCCTTGACTACTATTGACAGTGACACCACAAGAGAGAATCTTATAAAACTGTTGCCAAAAGTAGCAGATGGATGGACATACATGTGTAAAGGCCTCAATCTAAGCTTACAGGTGCCATATTAATTGTACTAGTATGCATTTTATATGTTTGTGATATATGAAGAATAGAGTTTGTTCTATGCCAGTGATCCTTTTTTCTTCAGGTACTTCGAGCGGACAATGGGGATGCATTAGGAGATGAAATCGTTTTTCTGACAGATGGTCAGGCAACGGACAACATTGCTGGTTGTGCTCCATCTGCAATACAAAGTGGTGCCATTATACACACACTAGCTTTTAGTAACAGTGCAGCTCATGCACTGACAGAAATGGCAAACAAAACTGGTAAGTGATATCAGCACAATTAATAACTTACTGTATCTGTCTGTGTATATCATATAAGCGCCAGTTTATTATTCAATGCAAAAATGTTTAAAAACAGGGGGAAAATTTTTATCACCCAATGATAAGACCACATCTAACCAGTTAATGGACGCGTTTGCTTCACTTACATTGTCAACTGGAGATTACACAAACGAACCAGTTCAGGTTTGTCAAGATGTCCCTTATTGCCCACAATAAATGTATTACTCTGAGAGTGTAATTAATCATAGTAATTTTTATCATTCCTTTAGCTAGAGAGTATTGGAGCAAGAACATCTGATTTGTTCAATGGGACAGTATCAGTGGATCAGACTGTTGGGAACAAAACCAGCTTTGTAATAATCTATGAAAACAGTTTTCCCAGTATTTACATACAGTCTCCAAGTGGCTTAATCTACACTCAGACAAATATGAATCATGATGTATCACAGAAAACAGTCACTTTAAACATTCCAGGAACTGCAGAGGTATGATAACCTTTATCAACCAGTTATTTATTACGCTTATAGCTCAAACTATTAACATGTAGGCCTAAATGTGTTACGTAGCACAATAAAAGGCATCAAGAGTTGTAGATAAACATTCATCAACTTCAGACTAAGAAGATATCACTGATAATTCAGCAGATACACTTACAGCAACCCCTTACTGATCTGGTTTTACTCTTGTGTTTGGTAGCCTGGGGACTGGAAGTACAGTATCCAAACTAAAATACTTCAGGCTTTCACTATAACAGTAACTAGTCAAGTGGCACAAGCTGATGTTCCCCCTGTCACTGTCAAAAGCCACATGAACCAGCAGTTCAGTGACGGCACTAAACCCATGATAGTGTTTGCTGAGGTTAGTCAGAATTACAGGCCTGTAATAAAGGCTGAAGTGTGGGCTACACTGGAGTCAGAAACTGGCTCCGTACATACATTACAACTGCTGGATAATGGAGCAGGTAAATGACCAACAATAAAATATAAATTTTAAATAAAATAAAATAAAAATGAATAAAGTGTAAGGTACTTTTCCCAACTTTGGCAAATGATTTAGAGATCCATCTTTTACAGGAGCTGATGCTTTTCAAGATGATGGAATCTATTCCAGATATTTCATAAAGATGGTAAATGGGAGAAGCAGCTTGAAAGTAAGAGTGAAGAATCAAAGTGGACAAACCAGATTTGCTGTCCTATACGTACCTGGATGTGTGATAAACGGTAAACCTTGAGATATATGTATATGCATAATTATTAGCCATGTTGATATTATCTTTTGGGAGTAATTTCTCAGCCAAATTTGATGTGAGATTAATTTGCAATTAATTAGATTAATTAATCGCCACATCATGTAATTAATTAGATAAAAAAATGTAATTGCTTACCAGCCCTAATAAATATATATTATATAAGCTCGATACCATAGAGCCCCCCCACATAACAAATCCCAATTTACTCCCTGTATATATGTACATAAAAACCTACATTAAAATTAATGTATATAAATTATTTGTTCATCATATAAAGCGAACATTTTGCTTCAGATCTGGAATGGCGTTCTCGCTCTGATGACGTCAGTTTGGCGGCTTCGGGAGAATCCTCTCGTTAAGTATGACTGCATGCCTCTACTCATTTCACTTGAGAATACTATCTCAGCAGCCATTTATGAGCACTATTTAATTAATATTACATATTTAAGCTAAGCATTCAAAAAATTGCTGTGCACACTACAGTCTCCGTGCTCACAGTGTCTCAGACACTAATATTTTAGCTGAATCACTGTCTGGCCATCTGGGATTTCAGTATGGAGATAAAGGGGTTATAATTTTTCTGTATTACATGACATCGTGGGTGTATCGTGGGTTAGCACAGTTTGGTGTTTTCTTGGGGCGTCTGGCAGAGCGTTAGGACCCAGAAGTGGTGAAGTGTGATGTCAGACGTAACAACGTAGCATATATTCTTAATCACTATCCAACTGTGAATCTGCTATGAGCAAGAGGTGGCGTGAAGTTGCACCACAAAAAAGCCTCGCCCTTTATTCAATATTCCGTTTCACTTGGGTTAAGGCTAGAAGGGATACATATGGCGCTACTGGGCATGCGCACAAAACTACAGTGTAATTTTTGTCACACTGTACAACAATAATTAATATTTTGTGCATTATTGCAAGGGGCAGGTTTAGGGTTGGGGTAGGTGTGACTTTAATAAAAAACAATCTAATAGGTAGAAAATTAAATTTCATTCTTAGTTTCCAGTCGGAGCTGTATCCCTTCTAGCCACAACCTTTCACTTGGAAATATATCACAACACTGAAGTCAGTTGCAACTTCTGATTCACGGGTACTTTACTACTGATATTTTTCAAGGTATTGAAGTTAGAAATTCCTGTATCATGACCACTAATTCACATACCTTGTTAATAACATAAAAGTGGGTTTTATTCAAAGTAGCTATTATCCACAAACTGTAGATCTTTGATGTGAATGAATATTTTTTGGTAATTCATTAAATATTGCCGGCTAAAAAGTAACTAGTATCTAGTACTCTGAGTAGTTTTTGAGAAGAGTACTTTGTACTTTTACTTAAGTACTGTTTTGGCACCAGTAATTTTACTTGTAGTTAAGTATTATTTCAGCAATGTAACAGTACTTGTACTTAAGTACAAATTTTCAGTACTCTGTCCAACACTGATACTGCTATTAACAATTCGCTAATAACAATCTGAATTCTATGATACTGCTGCTACACTCCATGAAAGTACTATAATTGCTGTAAACCCAACTGAATACATAAATAAGAAATTCCAGTTTAAGAGTGTCCTACTATTAGCTACATTGTACATGGGCTACTGATTGGAAATTATTTATTATTAGTAGTAATTTTATATTTTAAATGAATTCATGATTAATTATCTTTAAGCTATCACTAAACATGACTTCCATAATAAACTCTTCACTATCGCTGAACCAAGGTAATGAGTGAAAAAGAGATGTGGCCCCTTTAAGAGTGAGCTCTCCCTCTTCTTAAGTGCATTGCACGTATAATTACACAAGTACATGTATAAGTGGGTATATTATTTTCTGTTGCTCATTAAGTTGTTATGGTTAAATAGGTAAGCTGTTGACAGTATGACATTTATGAAAGACGGTTATACGGGTTCTGACTTAAAACACTGAACAACGGTGAAATGCCAACTGCAAACCGACCCCACTAACGTTAGTGAGGTGTGCATCTTGTATGTGTAACGAATGAGGCGTGACAATGGAGTAGGGATCCAAATGCAAGGCTTTTAATTAAAAAACCGTGATCAAAACAGGCAGGGTCAAAATATCAGCGAAACAGTACATCCGAGGCAATCCAAAAGAGTAATCCACAAAAACCAGTAGGTCAGGGCAGGCAGCAAACAATCATAAAACAGATAAATAGTCCAAGATCAAAATACACGAAGAAATGAAACTCGGGGAAAACAGGAGAATGTAAATCTGATGAATGCAATAATGTACTGAAATCAGAGTGAAGACTGTTTACTTATCTAGTTGCTAAGTTTCAGAGAAACTCTGAAAACACGCTGCAAGAATCTCAAGTGAATGCTAGCCAGCCATATAAATGCAAGGCAGTAAGCTCATTGGCTGCATATGCAGCATGAACCAGTCAGATTGTGTCAAGTCGTTTAACTCTCTGAATATCATCAGTTATGTTAACAACCCGTCAGCCTGCACCATCTAGAGTTTCATGAGTGAACTACATATATATATATATATATAGACAAGATTGATATTGCTCTTATACATAGTTCATTCCTCAATTAAAACTTGACAGGCTATTATGCCATCTTAAATGAGGTTCTACAATACAATCAAATAAGATAAATTAAATATATAACCAAACTACATTTATTTTCATATTAGATATTAAAAATATTTTGACAAATTATATTAATTAAATATTTAGAATCACAGAAGTATGTCTTCATACCACAAACTCTTCATGTGGTATGTTTGATGGCATTACAGGGTGTCCCAAATGAACGCATTTTGTCAAGTGGACTTCAACAGATATCCTGAGCTCAGTGATTAGGGAGCAGTAAACACTACATAGTGACAATGTCAGCTGGAATGCAGCTTGTCAATCATGAAGTTTTGTTCCTGAATGAATCTGTTTCGAACAAAACGTTTGTGTGAATGATTCAGTTATTCACTCATGAAGACACTTTATTGGTGTAACCCACAGAAAGTCAATGAATTAATGCAAAAACTGGAACTAACTGTTGTTTAAATGGCAATATACTGTAATTACCTATAAAGCTGTGTGGAGAAAAACATAATAATAATAAATTCAGGTGGTTCCTCTAATTTCAATTGTAGTGAAGCTGAAACCTCCAAAGCCTCCCGTTTTTGAAGAACCACTTGACGTTGGAAACTTTACCAGAACAGACACCGGAGAGAGTTTTGAGGTGAAACTTTCAGGCATAGCTCCACCAAATTTCCCTCCTAACAGAATCACAGATCTTAGTGCTGAGATCCAGGAGGACACGGTGCTTCTCAACTGGACAGCTCCTGGTGAAGACCTCGACCAAGGGACAGGTAACGCATACAATTACTATACCAGTCTTTAAAAGGTTTTTCATTTGTTTAACATCTTGTTAGCTGACAAAATAAAAGTTGTTTTAAAGTTACATCATGAAATAATGTATCTTTAATTGTCTTGCACTGCATTTTTTTTTTTTTTTGGTTTCCTTTAAGCTAAAACCTATAAGGTCAGGTGGAGCTTTGACCTTAAAATGCTTCGATTCAACTTCAGCAATGGTCATTCAGTCAACACAACTGCGGTCTCACCTCAGAAGGCTGGATCAGTTGAACAGCATTCATTCAATCTCAATATCACAATACAAAATGGCACCACACTCTACTTTGCAATTCAGTCGGAGGACAAACAAAAAGCAAAATCTGAAACCTCCAACATTGCTCAAGCTTCAAAGATCCTCCCTGCTCCAAAACCTCCAGGAATATCAAACCCAGGCATGAACTTGACAGTTCTTGTCATTTCTCTGTGTGTGGTAACTATGGTCATATGTTTTATTGTTGCTGTAGTCATATGTGCAGTGAAACGCAGAAAACACTCTGCACAAAGTGATACGGCATTAATATTCGCAAACGAATGTCAAAACAATCTGTATGCCTAATGTGACATAAGGTGTATACATAAGTATGTACATCCAGCAGCGTTAAAACATAATCAATTCCATCAAACAGAATGTTTTATTTTTATATATTTTTGCAGCATGTGTAATCTTGCACAGATTATTAAGAAGGATTTCTGTTTTTGTCTATCACGTAGGATTCTGTGGACTGAATATAGTTTCATAATTATTCAGTTTGGTGTACAATTGTCCACTGTAATACAAAACAAATCCTGAACTGTCTGTTCCTCAATGATTGATTCTGCTTTCAAGCACCCCTGGTGGAATACGACCAGTTTCTAATTAGAAAACAGTAACCTTTGCTGCCTCATGCGATTTCTGCTCCTGCGTGTGGTTGAATAACATTACATTGTGACCATGTTACCTAGTGTAATATCTTCTCATAGTTATATTTTCCTTCTTTTCTTTTTCCAAATAAATGACCATTTTATTATGAAATATCTCCTTTTTACAGCACTTTCAAAACACTCCTAATACACTGTAGTAAGCCATTGCGGTCAAGCCAGCAACAGTTTGAAAATCAAGCCAGCCGTGATATATATATATATAAGAAAATGTGTGTTCAGAGTGATTTTCACTGATTTGCCCTGACTTTTGAGATATTATTACAAGATTTCATGCTTTGAGATTTTTGTTGTACTTCTACTTTGTTATCCTTTTTATGTATTGGTGTTCTGGCAGTTGTGTGTTTCTTTGAACAATGGTTTTCTTTATTTTTCTTTAACGATCACCTTTCAAGTTATTGTTTTATATAGATGTGTTTACAGCAAGATTATAAAAAAAAAAAAACAGACAAAATAAAGTGTATACTTTCTCAAAATGCCTTACTTGCTTTTTGTTTTACTGTACTGGAATGAAAGTTAGTCGTAGAAGCATTGTTATATAATGAGATTTAATGTCTGCTCTGATAGTGAGCGCCAATAACAAAATAAGTTCACAATTAAAAACCAATCATTAGTTTGTTCGTTTTTTTTGTTTTATTTTAATTTAATTTTTTTATTATGAGGGGCCATACAAGCCACATTCATTCTGGCACTCTCACACACTTACATTTTCCTTTCACGTACATTATTTGCATGAAACACCTTTGATGAAAAATATGAAATTGGCCTTGTTGCTGTCTAGAAACACAATGCAGGTAAAGCCACAAATCTGAACACCCTATAACTCTTAAGTTTCATGAATGTGTGTCGTGAAGAAATGTGTCTTCTTCACTCACAGTGAAGAACTGTGCAGACCGGTCAGAATCGGCAGATTGGTCACCGGTTAGGGGCGATTAAGCTGAAAATCAGCTAATTCTGGTCCCTGGCCGGTCAATCGGTGCATCTCTACATTTCAGAGGTGCACAAAATTAAGAAAATAAACATTTATGGGTTGAATTTGAAACTACTAAATCAGCAAGTGACAGGACAGGGGCACTTTAGGGGCCAATAAGATTTAAACTGGGACCAGTGCCCTCCAGTGCTCTAGTTCAGCACATTTGCATGCGCACCAGCAAGCTGATAACTCACAAATATCAGCTTATTAAAATAACCAGTTTTCCCCATTTACATCCACATCAGCAACCTGACAACACTTGCGCTTACATGACTTTATTAATAAATCAGGTTATTTCCCTGTAGTGATGTCAAAGCATAATAATTTGCTTATATGACTGCGAGTATTCCAGATTTAAGCAATAATACCATTCCTATTTTCTGTCCATGGATTTGAAGTGTCATGAAACCCTAAAACACATTTATTTTGAGATGCTAATATATATGAACAGGTTGCACATCTGTGAAAACAACAATATCACTCATTATGTCTATTATTAAGGGGAAAGTGGTTATTTTTTCTTTTTTTTGGAGCAATTTCGTTCTTCTGGTTCAAAAAGCTAAATTGAACCTATGTCACGAAAAATTACGTATATGCATTAATTTGTAGTGGTTATTGGCTGCCATGGGTGGAGAGTACGCATCTACGTCATCAGTTTTCTGAGTATTTCTCAGTATTATTCATTAGAATGAACTCTTATGATCCAATGTGTTATGCATGAGGTCGTATTACAGCGGCGAATTCTAATCTCATGAAAGAGCTTCCGCACTGTCAGTTCATCTCTGTAAACATGACCGTAAAACAAAAAGTAACTATGCCTTTATTCTTTCTGTTTTAAAGATATTTTAATATTTATTTGTCTGTATAATGGGTGTGTTGTAGGTCTGTGTTGGTTGTTTTCTCCCCTCTTCCCACCCTCTACACTCCCACTTTTCCGCCCATTTCTGGAGTCTTTTTCAGATCTAAAGCCCGAGACACACTGCGCAATTTTCAGCTGTCCCAGATGAAAGATTGGCATCGTGAAACAATCACGGTGATTTCTGTGATCATGGCTCCTAATCGGTGGTTCTGTGTTGTACAGTGAAAGAGAGGTTAAAAGACGGCCATTGCCACGGTCTTGCGACCAAAGATAGCCTACGATGAGCATCATACAGTGTGTTTGCTGTTACGATCCACGTTTACTGACCGACCAATAAAACTGCATCATGAAATCAACGTGACCTGGTGCTAAAACATAAAACTGCTTACCTCTTATCCCTTCCTCTTTCGCCGCTTCCACTTTTTTCAGCACACATAAAAATTTTAAAGTAGGATTTATCATGCTCCTTTTGTTTACCACTAGCGCATGCTGATGACGTTTTATTCTTCTATAGAAATGTGCGTTGTAGCCTACGAATCAATAGGTGTCATCATCGTACAGTCTACACACATGTCGTAGCCAAGTTTATTAGATCCATGTCGCACAGTGTGACATGCATTGATCTTATAGGATTGCTAAAATCGTAGTGTGTCTCGGGTTTAAGGTGTGAAAGACCAGTGCTGAAACAGGGGGTTTTATGATACTTTAAAACCTCCTGAAATTAAAACTGAGATGTTGAAGCAGCACCTCTGATGAATCACAGTGATTGAATCTAAAACCTTCAGCTGATACACAGATTATTAGCCCATATCCATGCATTTGTAAGTTACTGAACTCGCTATGACAGAAAACAACATGATTTGAATTCTCGATGCAGCATTGAAGGCTGTACATTTGTGTCGACTAAATTCGCCAGCCTTTGTGAACACCTAAAGTGGCATATTCGAGATGGTAAAAAATGGAATGTTCGATGACTGCCTGTAAAAAAGTATTTTAAAGTGAAGTCATCATTTTCAGCACACCTCAGTAGAAAGCATAAATGTGATTTTCAAAAATCTGTGCAGATATTACTGAGATTTCTGTTGCTGTGCCAAATGTGAATAATGTTACTAGTTGATAAACTGTTTAGCTTTGGGTAAAATGCAGAGCTTGTCACTGTCACTTTTTACCCAGCTGTCCAATCAATGGAGTAGGGGCGGGACAAATACTACACCGACCAATCATCCTACTTGTACAACAACTGAACAACAATAGAGAAGTTAATATCGCTGGTTACTGCATTTTTATATGTTTTAATATTCTTCAAAATGAGATACTAGTAATACGTTACTGCCGTGGATATTCCACCTCATAGCAACCAAAGCGTCTCTCCACTAGAAAAACGCTGTGCCACCAAAGCGGTCTCCAGCACCACCAGCTGGCCGTTTTAAGAAGAGCACCTGACAGTTTTTCAGCTGGCTAAAAACGCTTTGGTGGACACACGTTATTGAATATTTATTGTTAGGCATATGGCCTATTAGTGTTTTTTGCATTTATGCAATATACTGGAGCCAAACCTGAGAAAGTAGATCAGAATATTCCACTTCTTTCCTGGACATGCAATTTACGTAGCTGTAATTCATAGGCGGGGGTTATGCTAATTGTGAATGAGCGTGCACGATCACCCTATTTACGAATGATTGGAATTCATTAACATACACGTTTAAATATCAAATCTGATGTGTATGAAGTGTTTGTGAATTTGGAGGAGAGTTTTTGGGAAGGTCCGTTTTAGGCGCAAATTAGGCCTACTCAGAATTTACTCCTATATTTACGAATGTTTCATGAATGAGGCCTATTATGTGTACACATTTTGGAAAATTTAAATGATTCTGATACACTTATCAAACTTTATTATTTGTTGTTGAAAAGTGTAAATCAGTTGTTGATCTGGGTCTACACTGCCTGCAACAAGAGTCAAATCCTGAATATTTATGTATAAACACAGAGAATCTGGCTGATTATTACCCTCTGCCAGTGTACAAACGCTTTGACGCTGATTTTGTTGCACTTCACCATTCTGTTTGTCTTAGGTAAGAAGGTAAAAGATGGAAGCTGTCATCAGAAGTGCTCTCCCAATTCTGGATAATGATCGACTGAATGACTTGATATCAGAATTAACGAGAATTGGTGTCAAATGTAATGTGGTGTTTGTGTTTTGTTTCATGTTCATGTTTCACCCTGTTAGTGTCATGCTTCCCTTGCCCTCATGTATCGCTGCCTTGTGTATGTGTCATGTTCTGATTGGTTGTCTTAGTCATGTGCCTTGTTTCCCATTGGTTTGTTCATGTCATGTGACCCTTCTTGTTTGATACAAGTAGCCATAATGTTCCCATTGTACCTTGTCGTGTATTAAAGTTGTAACCTGCTGTCGGTGATTCTAGTCTGTTTATGCCTTGTCAAGTCAAGTCAAGTCTGTTCAAGTCAAGTCTAGTCAAGTCTTTGCACATGGGTTCTCACTACGCTCGCCTTCAGTGGACTAATTCGTTACAGAATACACAACCAGCCAAATGAACCCAGCAGATTGCCTAGTTCGTCTCCGACAGGAAGACCTATCCATAGAGGATTACGTGGCTAAGTTCTGTGAGCTTTACTACCAGGTAGACTTGAATGAAACCTTCCTAAATTACATTTTTCGTTTTGGTTTAATTAAGGACATATCAAGTTTAATGCCACGCAATACTCCTCACTGGACTCTTGAAAAATACATTGACTTTGCCTTGTTGCTGGCTGATTCACCATTCACTGTGGGTGTCATGGAGGAGGA